GATCTAGATGTCTTTGCTTCCAGAATTTTGGTGTCTGAATTTCTATCTATCTATCTATCTATCTATCTATCTATCTATCTATCTATCTATCTACGTTCTGTTTAGTTGCCATTTACCTCATTTTGGTGCCATTTTATTTGCTAGGGAAGAGAGGACTTGTCTGTAAGCTGGAGTTAATGAGTGAAAGCTTAAAACCACTGTGTAGTAAAGTTCATTAGCTTCCTAAGGTGTGTTATTTTCCAGCTATTTTAGATTCTCAGCAAATCTAATTTATTCTCTGTCTCTTGTCTCTTGTCTCTCATCCGTTGTCTCTCATCTCTCGTCTCTCTCTGCTCTTACTCATCTTTGTGCTTCTCTCTGTGCCCTGCATACAAAAGCAGCCTCATGTCTGATGTTGAAATATATACCAGTGTGTGTGTGTGTGTGTACTGGACATACCCATAGTAAGCATACACTATAAAGAAGGGAAGATGTTGTCAGTTTATTATTAAATAATGGAAAATTATAACCGTATTTACATACTTGATGTGGCAAAGAGAGTGAGAGTAAGAAAAAAATCAAGACAAAGACTTTAATAAAACATTTTAGAATGATGGCAGTAATAAAATTCAAATTCTGAAATTTCAACTATAAAAGGATTTCAATGTAAAGATTGAAAATGATTTGAAGAAATTTTTGACCCACACTATATTCTATGATAATTCCAAACTGCATGAACTAAGAGGTTTAGGCCATGAAATTTAAATGCCTTTGAGGAAAAAAAAAAAAAAGACTAATATAACTTATGCTCTTTAGAAAATGATCTTTAAATAATAGTCATGAAAGGTTTGAAGCCAGGACCAATTTTGTTCATCTTTGTCTCTCATTCACACCTAGTCTAATTGCATATGGCAGATGCTCAAAAAAGGCTTATTAAAAGAACTAGAGGCCTGGTGCATGAATTCGTGCACCAGTGGAGGGTCCCTCGGCCTAGCCTGCAGGATTGGGCCGAAACCAGCTCTCCGACATCCCCCAAGTTGTCTCGAATTGCGAGAGGACACAGGCTAGGCCAAGGGACCCCACTGGTGCATGATTGGGGCTGGGGAGGGACACGGGAGGTTGGCCAGCCAAGGCGTGACCACGGGAGGGCTCCAGGGCATGTCCGGCCCATCTTGCTCAGTCTAGATCGGCCGGACCCCAGCAGCAAGCTAACCTACCAGTCAGAGCGCCTGCCCCCTGGTGGTCAGTGCACATCATAGCTATGCACTGATTGACGGTCAACTGTCTGCCCCCTGATGGTCAGTGCACATCATAGCGAGCAGTTAAGCAGCCTTAGCATATCATTAGTATATTATGCTTTGATTGGTTGAACAGCCGACCGGTTGACCGGACACTTAGCATATTAGGCTTTTATTATATAGGATGGTTGTCAACCTTGCAAAAAATGTGAAGGTGGCAGCCTGGCTCTATAGATGAACATATGCATAGGTATATTGATAAATGTATGGGGGAAATCCTTCATTGGCTATTCAATCAGTTATAAATAAAATCACTTCATTCCTTGCAAAAATATTTATTACTTTTAAGTTAAATGGATCAATAAGACAGTCTCTGCCTTGAAAGTATTATAGTTCCTTAAAAGAAAGCAATATATATTACACCTAAGGCTGTTTATTTCTGCAATATTTGACAGTAGAACCATTTAAAATATCAAATAAAACTGAAATTCATAAAATTTCACATTATTTTCACATTTATTATCTACTTTCATTTAAAATAGTTGCAGTTTGTAGACTCTAAAGTAGACAATTTTACTTCCTTCTAATTATTTTCTATTTTAAAAGAGCAAAATCTTCATAAAAGAGACAAAATATGACTTGCCAATGGCTATAAAGTCAATTTGTGGCAAATTTAAAATAATACATATTTCAGGATTTTACATTCCAAATAAAACTTCTATTCTGCTTGCTAAATATACTTAGTTATTATGCTTGCTAAATTCACTTAGTCATTCATTAGGTGCACTGATTCTTCCAGAGTATTATTTAGTGATGAGGAATTTATGCCTAAATTTCTTCCATTAACTCTGTACATTCTGATTTTGTGAATAACTTGGTTCAAAACCTTTAGCCCAATTAAGTGTCTGAATACCAGGATAAGTCCACTGCTCAAAAGGTTTTGTTTTTAAAATAGCGTAGGCAAGAAATACAAAAGGATACTTGTTTAGGATATGTAATTTGAAAAACTTTTATTAAAATGAATTAAGTAACTCACATTTTGCATTGCCTGGAAACTAATAAATGAACAGATGACAGTTTTACCTTTCCAAAGTACCATGCATTTCCCAAATATAACATTAATCTAACCTGTAATCTCTTGTTCAATATTTATAGTCACTGCTAATCTCTAAACCCCACAAAAGAAAGGATGTATTAATACCATTTATTGCCTGATTTACAATGCTACAAAGAAGTGTCTGACACATAATGATAGTCAACCCAATAAATATTGTTGAGTGGGACAAAATTGAAGAAGTGAAGCAGTATGAAAATCCTTCCAATCATTTTGAAAAATATAATGAGGAATTTCTACATGTGAAGAAAATTAAAACTACACCAAAAAAAATTAACTAAAATCCTTGATAATATTTTATATATGTGTTATGTATGTACATACACAGATATTGACATACACATGTATATGCATGTGTCTATTTTGTCATAGAATTTGTAATGTAGTAATAATAACAGCAATAATAAATAATATAGATAGACATTTGAGTACTTACTACATGCCAGAAACTATGTGTTTTACTCATATTAATTTATTTTTTACAACTGCCTTACTAGATAAGTACATTTTATCCTTATTTCATGGAGAAGGAAACAGTACCTATTTTATAGGTATTATAAAATAAATGGAAAGCAATGTCACCCTTACAGTTTCTCATATGACTACAAGAAAGAAAGAAAGAGTGGGAATGGGGGAGAAAAAGAGGGTAGGAGTATGGCAGGAAAGAGAAATTAATTTAACTACTTATGTACTCGAAAGTGTGCATAGATTGGAAATAATGATAGGGAATGAAGGAGAGGAACCCTAGAAATAACTAGCATTTAAAGAGCTCTACTATGCTTCCCGAGATCAAGGCTTGATTTCTACAAGATATTCTTTACTATTTGCTCTTATTACACAACTCTTATACTAATAAATTGTGTTTGTGTTCCAATAAACATTATGTGGATAAAATGATAAACACAATAAAAATAATAAAATAAATAGTATAGAATAAATATATAAAATATAAAACAAAAATAAATAAAATATATAACTAAATAAATATACAATAAATAAATATGTTATAAGTATAAAATAGTATAAATAAATTAATTGACATAATAAAATCTATCAGTAACATATAAATTAAATATAAAATATTACAGATATTCTTATCATAGACCTGACAGTGTTTATGAAGTGATTTTATAATAAAATATAAATTGTAAAAAACATTGAAAATGTAAAGAAACAAAAAATCAATGATTTTACCACTTGAGGATAAATTTGTTCAGAAATCAATTTATGTACTTCAAGTAATTTATGGAAAACATAAAATATACTTACATGATTTAAAATTAAATTAGAATAATGCTGTATTTTCAGTGTATGGTATTTTTATTTGCTTATTAAGGAAAAAAGTATAATTCACACTTTTTAGAAATGTAGTGAATTGAGTTGTGGCAAATGCATAAACCCCTGTACCCAATACCATCATCAAGATCTGGAATACTCCATTATCCCAGAAACTCTCCTCACATTCCTTTCCAATCAATACCTCCAACCTGTGGAAAGCACAGTTTTGATTTCTATGGCAATAAATTAGTTTTGTCTATTCCAAAACTTTATATAAAAGGAAGCACACAGAATGTACTCTTTTCTGTCCTGCCTCTTTTGATCAGCATGTTTGGAGATTCATCCATGTAGTTCCATATTATCAGTAGTTTACACGGCTGAATAGGTCACAATTTGTTCATCCACTCATATACTGTCATCTCAGTGGGGTGTTTTCAGTTTGGAGCTATTATGAAAAAAACCTTCTCTGATCATGTTCTTATGTATTTCATGGATATATGCCTTTCAGGACTTTAAGATAAATTTATGTTGTTTGATACCACTGATTTTAATTTCTTACAATAGCAATAGGAAATTAATACATTATTCCAATAGCCAATGGGTAGACACAACCCATCAAAACCTCTCTAAACTCATTTCAAATTGCAACAGAAATTCATATTAATTTAACTATAATTCTCTAAGTTAAAATACCTTAAGTCAGACATTTCTTCTAAATGCAGTTCTTTTTTGGCTTTGTTTTGTTTTTGTTTTATTTCAGGACAAAAATTACATGGCCTGGGACCCTCACTTTGACAATGCTGTATTTTATCTTTTTTATTTTTAGTAAATTTATTGGGATGACACCGGTTAACAAATTATATAAGTTTCAGGTGCACAAATCCACAACACATCATCTGTACACTGTATTATGTGCTCACCACCTCAAGTCAAGTCTCTATCCATCACCATTTATCCCCCATATACCCTCCTCTGCCTCTTCCCAACCCCCTGCCCCTGACAATCACCGCAGTTCTTAAACAAAATGGGCAAAAAAGATGTGTACCAGTATTTGTTAGGAAGCAGGCATGAAAAACTAGCAAATATACTTTTGTTTTTAAAATCAGCAACTATTATTGATATAAATATTTCCAATCATCTGAGAACATCTGCCACTACGGAACTCGTTCAATGTTATAAAAATGAGGCTATAACTAGCATGACGATAAAACTCTTTTGTGATTCCACTGCTCTTCAGACAAGTCTATGCAGCAGCAGAACCTCTCCTTCCATTGGCAATAAACACCACGCCTGTTCCCCGGACGGCCCACGCCTCATTCTATTGTGCAACAGCTTGTGCTGCTCCCACTCTTAAAAGACAGGAAAGGCCACCCACTAACATTTCTGCATTGCTCCTTTTCCCATTTACACTCTATCAGTGGAATTAACATCTCATTCACTGAATCAATCGCATAGCTGAACGAGAATATGACAGCTGGAAGGAGTTTTCTGATCTTTGGTCAGCAAACATTAAGGTACATGGCGTTGATCCAACATTGCTTTATATATATTATGTATTTTTACTTCCTTGTGTCAAGAAGCAGGTAATGCTCTACCAAGAATGTAGACTAACTGGTTTGATTAGTTTGGTGTATTTATAAAAGATTTCATGAAAAGGAAGAGTTTCGGTTTTATGAAAACCTACATGTCTAATGCTTCAGTTAGATATTGAAAAATACATGAAGGCACAGCGATTTCATTGACTAGGGAATAAAAAGGGTGGTGGAGGGCTGGAAATTGGCTTTGTTATAACAACACAGAAACCTCTGGCTCTGATTAAGAAAATGCTTTTATTACCAAGTTGTTGCATCCTGGTTCATAAAACTTTGTGTCAGTCATGGAGCTAAAAATTTCTCATATGTTTTTATCCCCAAGATAAATTTTACAAAGCAGAGATTATAGAAATTTTCCATTTCCATGTATATCTGAGAGTCAGGGACCTGGAAAAAGGAAAGGCATTTCTTACATGGTAGTATCTGTCAGTTCTCTCTTTTTTTTTTCTTGACAAATCACTGTCCCGTTAAATCTCTATGTATGAAGTGCCTAATGTGGGCATTATTCTGAGGTGCCAAGCATATAAACAGCATGAGACCCATTCCTCGCTTGAAACATGCCTTAAAGGGACAAGTAAAATCAAGTAGATATCTTGAGGGGTCAATCTATATATATATAGAGAGAGAGGTAATATGCAAATTAGGCCAGGACACCGTAATGGTCACAACCAGCTCAGGAAAAGGGGCCTGAGGTGGGCCCAGAGCCTGAGAGGACAACAGACAGGACGGCCCATGCCCGGCCCCAGAGCCGGAGAGAACAACATGCAGGGGGGCCTGCCCCCAGTCCCAGCCCTGTGGCTGCGGCGCTGGGCTGCTAGGGCCAGAGCGGTGACACAAACCTGCAGGGGGGCTGGATTGATTCTGATCAAGTGCATGCACCTAGGTTGCAGGCTCCTCCCTGGCCAGGGCCCAGGTCAGGGCTCATGCAGGAGGCAACCAATCAAAGTGTGCCTCTCACATTGATGTTTCTCTCTGTCTTTCCCTCTCTGTGTTGACGAAAACAACTTGGCGGCTGTGGTGGCCGGCAGCGGCAGCAGCAGCGGAGGTGGTCAGGGTGATGCCTTCCCCTGATCAGCCTGGTTGCCTCCTGCAGAGGGAGGCCAGACTGTGGGTTAGGCCCACTCCCCGTGGGCCTAAGTAGGACATCCCCTGAGGATCCCACACTGTGAGAGGGGGCAGCCAGGGCTGAGGGGACCCTCTGCCCCCAATGCACGAATTTCATGCACTGGGCCTCTAGTAGATGAATAAGTGTTGATGGTGTAATTTACTGCATGGTGACTATAGTTAACAAGACTGTATTATATATTTATAAGTTGTTAAGAAAGTAGATTTTAAATGTTCTAAACACATGAAAAATTCTAATTATGTGAGGTCATGGATGTATTAACTAGCATTATTGTGGTAATCATTTTGCAATATATACATATATCAAATCATAATTGTACACCTTAAACTTACACAATGTGATATGTCAATAATCTTATATAATAAAAGGATAACATGAAAATTGACCAAATGGCAGAATGACCAGTCTCTATGGCACACATTGACCATCAGGGGGCAGACGCTTAAAGCAGGAGCTGTCCCCAGCCCACAGGCCATGATCACCCGATGGCAAACAGGGAACTGGGGGTGGGTGGCAACAGATGCAGGCAGTGCCAGGCCAAGGCCCCCGCCCCACCCATCACCCCACATACAGAGGGCGACTGGCAGCAGGGGGCGGGGCTGGCAAGCAGGCATGAACAGCCAACCTCTTGGTCCCTCCTCCCAACCAGCAGGCTCCAATGGCAAATGGGGAACTGGGGGGGTGGGGGGGGTGGGACCGGCTGTCAGCAGCTGGGGAAGATGCCCCTGATCACAGGCCAGGCCTAGGGACCCTACCCATGCACGAATTTCATGCACCAGACCTCTAGTAGCGCAATGAAACTAGAAATAAATAATCAACAGAATCAGTTTTGAATGATTTGGGGAAGGTTACTTACAAATTTTAAAAATACACATATGTAAGATAACACTTCCCTCCATCGAAGGTCATAATTAGCCAGGCTCCTTAAAGGGTGAATAAATCTTTCAGATTTGCCCCAAAAGTCCTAGTTGTAAAACTAAAATTTCAAGACCCCTCAGTCCCAAGCAAGCTGGGACAGATGATCACCCTACTTATACATGACCAGATTCAACTATGTGTAACCTGAAAATACTCATTGGTTTTCTCATGTATGCCTAGCACTTTGTAGGGAATCATGTATAAGGTCATTATGGTTCAAACCAATAGTTTGGCCTTTTGACAAAGTAACATATATAGTGAATGTTTCAGTTTATTTACTTCTTTATTTGAAAAAGTAAGAAGAAAATTCAAAGCCTTATACTATTCATATAATAAAAAAAATGCAAACCTTCAAATCATCTTGTTCTCCATTAAAATCTCTCCATTTCATTTTTAGTACCACCTTTTTGTCTACTCAGGCCAGAAACATCAGCTGAACACATGCAATTTATAATTGCTGAGGGAACAGTAACTTTGAATTATTTCGCTTTCGGGCCTTTGTCTGTTTTTTAGGCGACAGTGTGAATGAAGGAATCTGCTTCCATACTGATTTATATGAAATGTTTCAGAACATGAGGGAAAGGTATTATATCACTTGCTTTTTCAAAAATGCTGCTGTTAAGGTAATTTGGAACTTAACACAAACACATTGACTCAACCCAAGTATGGTATATGTTAACGAACATAAAAGCTCATGTGCTATCATTTGCTTTTCAAATTTGCACAACTTTATTGACTGAATGAAATGAGGTCTCCATTTCAATGTGGCCACTCAGGATTTCATATTCATTTTTTTTCTATATGTATGTTTTTTTAAACCTTGAAAATTATGTCCATGTTTCATATCCCACAGAAGAGCACTGAAGGCAAGCATTAAGGGAGAATAAATAAGATAGAGGGGTGTGTGTGTTTTCTGATGGGAAAGAAATTAAGTCTTCCACTTTTCCAGTGTTAACTTTTTAAAAAAGTTTTATTTCTATTCATTTTGATTTCATAGTATGACAAACTAATATCCTAAACTCCCTTGCTCTCTTGCCTTTCATTGCTCTACTGTGACAAATAGCTAACCATTCGCTAAGAATCCAGCTACCCTTCTGTTTTATACTTGGTTGATGAGTGCTTCCGGGGGAAGGTCACATTATTGGGCAATTGGCTATCACTGTGAGTGTGTGTTCAGCTTTCTCAACTTAGCCCTCTGTATGATTACAAGGCCCACCCTATCATTATAGTCATCGTACACATTTCCTTCTTACAATAATTCTTTTTCTACATTTCTCAAGTATTTCATGTCTTCTTATCCCCACTCCCTCTCAGCAGAGGACCTCAAGTAATTCCCCAAATTTTCAGAAAAATAGAAGCTATTAGATGAAATTTGCCTCAACTTCTGGTCTTGAAACCTACATAAATAGTCAAATCTTCTCCCAAATTTTACTTGCTTTTTCAAAAATGCTGCTGTTAAGGTAATTTGGAACCTAATACAAACACATTGACTCAACCCAAGTATGAATGAAAAAAATTTTCATAATTTTGTTGATGTTCTTAGGAACCTAGCATGATTAGTTATTGTATCTCTCGTCTCTATCATCAGTCCAATGTGTGCACCTGTTCTTTATATGTATTTATGCATACATGTATGTATATATGTATAAAGGTATGTATGTATATATGTATACATGTATTTTTTCATTTAAAAGGCTAACTACCATTCCAGTTACTATCCTAACTTCTTTTCAACAACAAAATTTTACAGTGTTGTCTATATTCACATCTCATTCACCTCTTAACTTTCTATTTCTACCATTCCACTAAAATTGTTCCCACCAGGTCACTAATATTTTAAACAGTACACCTTTAAAAGTAAACCTCACTAAACTATACTTTTCAGTCTGCATTTCATCCTATCTCTTAGCCTTATACAATAAGGATTTTTCTTTTTTTGAAACAATTATTTCATTTGGCTTTCCTCATGTCTCTACTTTTGATCTTTTTCTTCTGTTTCTCTGGCCACTCTAGTCTCCATTATCCACACCTCTCCTAGTAGCAATGAGATGTTGGAATTCCTTGGGACTTTGTCCAGTGATGTCTTCCTAGGCAATCACTAACATTTTCAAAACTTCCATTACTATGTATAACTCCCATTCAAATCTATGTCTGAGTCCATGAATTATCGATCCATCTGTTTACACAGCCTTTCCATTTGGGTTTCTCATGAGCACCTAGAACTCTGCTTTCCCAAAGATTCCTGCTCTTCCTGTTGCTCATAGGCGTCCATGAGAACACGTATTCCTCCTCGATCCCCACCTCCCTTTCATCACTTTGCCCAGGTAGTTATCCAGTCCCTGGTGGCACCAATCTAGTACATGGCTCTGCCATCTTCTGGGTGCAATAATATAATCTATAATAATAAAAGCATAATATGCAAATAGACCTAATGACCAAACAGCAGAATGACCAACCACGCTATGACACCCACTGGCGCCAGGCCAGCCAGGTGGATGTAATGCGATTGGGTGGGGCCCCAGGCATTGCCCCATGATTGCCCCAAAGAGGGAGGCCCAGGCCACCGAGCAGCGGGCTGTGGCGGGTGGGCAGGACCTCCCTCTGCGGGGGCAATCCATCACAGAGCCCCGGCCAGGTGGGCAGGGCCTACCTCTTTGGGGTGATCGATCGCGGGGCTCCTAGACTGTGAGAGGGCACAGGCCGGGCTGAGGGACCCTCCCCCCCAGTGCACGAATTTCATGCCTGGGCCTCTAGTGACAATATAATATCTTTCTAATTGGTCTCCTGCATCTAATATTGTCACTCTCATGCCACCACTGACTAACTCTCCTCATAGTAGCCAACAGGATCTCTTAAAAACCATAATCATGATTAATGAAACTCCTGTTATGGCCCTTTGATAGCTTCTTATTATTTTAAGATTAAGTCCAAAATCCTTAATAATCCTTTTAAGACCTTTTAAGAATCAGCCCAGAATTGCTTCTTGCTCCTTTCCTATGATTGTCTTTTCAGCCCTATGAAGCTTTCCTGAGATCTTTGAACACACAATGCTTATTTCCCTGAGTCAACATAGAGGCATTTGCTCCTCTTTTCTGTGCCAACGTCCTCTTCATGTTACAAATTAATGATCTCCAACTCATGGAAGTTTCCCTTGTATTCCCCACTCCCTCAGATTAGGACTTATGTATCCCTGTATCATATCCCGGCACATGGTCAGGGTTCAGAAATATTTGTTCACTGACTTTTTAATTCACTCTCGGTTCCTCGAGACCTGACAGCTACTAAAACTTGATGTGAATCAGAAGCATGTGAAGACTGTTCACCTTAGCAGGTGCCCATAGTCAGTCATACGCATACGAGCTACTGTAGGTGGAAATGGAGAACTCCCTATCACCCAGCTGTCGGAAAGGCCCATGTTAATTTGCGACATGGCCAATTGCTGTCAAAATTCTCAGTTTCTCCTTCTGCTGAGATGTGGTAGCTAGGCAACTTCAATAACATTTGGAATCCAACCCACAAATATCTCACTCCCTCCAAGATGGGATAAAATGCCAAAAGTAGTTGGTTTCCCTTGAGAGATACTCTCCTAAGGCTATGAATATGGGCCAAATGTTTGTGAAGAAATGTTTATAACTGCCTATATTTTAAGTGTGCACGGGTACATTGTATTGACTTAATTATGTGGCATAGTGTGACTGATACAATACATGAAAGGCTTGGATTTTCCTACTATAAAATGAAGTCCATATGTAAATAATTATCCTGTTAATATAGCATTTATTGGAAAAACTGGCTGTATATGGCAACACTGTAAATTTAACAAAACAAGCAGTTATTTCAAGAGAACTTTTCCAAGCATAAAATCCTTGTTGTAAGATTTGTCCTGTAAATAGCAAATTTAAGTGAAATAAATTAAATGTCTTGTGCATACACACTTTGACTGAAGAAACAGGCCTCAGCAAATAAACTGACCACATAATGATTTTAAAACGGAGGCAACTATTGCAGCAGGCTTATTTGAGACAATCCTTTATCTTTTCACAAGTTAGCTGGAGATTGAACATATTCACTAAGGGACTCTCTGAATGTCACCAACAATAATATGATTGAGTTATCATAGATTTTAAAGGTGAATAATGGCTACTTAATGCTCTGGACCCTCTAAATTCTCTAGTGTGAAGTGACAAGTTCTTACTTTCATTTTTTTAAACTTGTAAGTGTATATATCAAACTGTAATGAGAAAGTGGTAAGCTTAATGATATCCATTCCCTAGTGCAAATGGTGTTTTAATACATAATTAAAAATTCCTAACTGGGGAATTGCAGTGATATGGTGGAGCTGTTTGAATACAGAAGAGTCATTTTTTCCTAGCTATTTATTAAGCAACGTAATCAACTATTTTTTTATTTCCCAATTGTTTTCTTGCCTGAAATTATAAGCTCATTCTAACTTTCCCAATACTTTTTATTAATACCAAAAAAGTGTTTTATTTCTAACAATGTAATATTTTGTTCTTTCCTAAATCTACCCAGCTATTAAACCAAAGCAAGTTCATTGTCTCATATGCTTATACTTAGCCACTAGTGAATTTTTAGCCTGAGATTTGTTCAATAAAGCAAACACATTGCTATAAATACAATGATTATATATTTCTCAGCCTCACAGAAATATATATTCATGGTGCACACATAAGCATCTAAAGATGTAATAAAATCTCTTAACATATAATAAAATATCCAAATATTTAAATACAGATTCAAGTTTTTAAAATTCTTTTCCAACATATTCATGCAAATTTAACAAACAAAAATTCTACTCTGTAGAATAAACATATTTTGCTAAATCAGTTTAACCTAGACAAATAGTATGAGTTAAATTACCAGATAGAAATTGGGGCATGTCTATCAAATATCAGACAGCAGAATTATATCCAAGAGAAGTTTGGTGCCAAGTAATTGAGAAATTGCTTAAATGCATTTCAGGCTTTGATTTCAGAGCAATTATCCAGAAGTTCAGTCCTGGGCCAATTACACAGTATCATGCTTGGAGAATAGGAAACTGCCCTAAGAGGAAGTTGTTACTGTCATTTGTAAACTATCTCAGACAGCTCATTTAAGGACAGATAAGGTATTTTGTTGTAAAGCAGCTGTATTGTACTGGAAAGCAACATAGTCAAAAGAAATGGAAATGGATCTTGGCTCTCCTATTTACTATTCCCATGTATAATCTTGGGCAAGTCATTTAATGTTCCAGCCTCAATTTTATCATTCTTAAAAAAAGGGGGGAGGGGGTGCCTAGAGTACCTGCTTCAAAGGATTGCAATAAGGCATGTAAGATTATAAGTGGGAAAGAGTTCTCTGTTCCAAAAGACTATTCATATAAGAGATGATGGTTATTATTCTCCATACGATAGTGCTTGCCATAATATCAGTGAATTTATAACCTTGAATGATGAGTTCTGAAGATCCACTGAAAGACCTATAACTTCTTCCTCTTGATGGTATGAATGAATCAACATATACAGCACATCTGAGAACAGTTAAAATAGTAATCTGGAATGAGATGAGTTTATGTCCAAATTTTGAACTCTTACATATCATTACAGCAGACAAAACCATGCAATATTAACTCCATTGAACAACTTATTTGTGTTTATAGGTTTGCTTTCTTTATATAAGAGATGTATCCTGAAATGTTAAATACAATATGAGTGACTCATATTTAACTATTTTGGGGAAAGGTTGTTACCTAGATTAAAGAAACACTATAGTAAATGTTTTGCAAAATAAATAATCCTTCAGGTAAAAAAAATAATAACCTTGCAAATTTGAATTTTTATATGCCACGTATTCTAAAAGTGGGAATATAACTCCTTTAAATTTTTTTTTTTTTTTTTACTTTAGAGCCTCACTCATGAGCTAGAAGTGCCTACTTCAGATCGATAGATGATACAAATGAAGAATGAAAACATCATTTGAAAATTGTCTTCTTGAAATCATTGTCTTGGGTGAGATGATATTCTGTCCACTTCCAAACATCCATCTAACAGTGCCTTTCCCTTCTGCATGTGGCTTCACAGCCACCCTTTAATCAGAGCACTGGCTTCTTTGTATCATAGCGGGATCTGTGATCCAGATGCTGACGTCCAGGTACTGATACAGCTACCCATTCCAGCCTGTTTGCTCCTTTAATTATGTCCCGTCACAGACTCTGGCTCTTGACTCCTTTCATTTGCCTGAATGTTTGTTATTTTTATTGTTTACTCTCTGATTGTGCTCCTAATGGCTAGAAGATTCCTATGGATGGCCTCTTACCTCCCAACATTTTCTTTGCCCCTATCTTCCATCCCTGACAATTTAGGTCCACTTTTAGAGCCAGGTAAGGGCAATATCCACTCTTCAACAGCCCTGACTTCAGGCTCTCTTATTCACTCACAGAACCTCCTGTTGGCCCTGGAGTGAGGATTTATGGGGTCTTTATTTTTTGTAAAGGATTTTCTAAGTCAGGATTACTTCTAATTAAAAGTGACAGCAAGCCAACAGAAAACTAGTTGAGCCAAAAAAAAAAAAAAAAAAAAGAAGAAGAAGGGATTTTTTGGAAGACTTGTAACCACACAAAAAAGCAAATATGGCCCAGGGGCCAATTGGGAATAGAAACTTCAATGTCTCCAGAAAACACTGCATGTTTTCTATCCACATGTTGTCATTACTTTCTTAGGAAAGGTTTTCCCACTAACAGAAAATATAGAATCTGGCAGCAATTCCATCTTCAATCTTTCATTATCATCACCAGAAAATGATTGACTCCTGCTGTCTCTTTTTCACGTTAAAAAACTAGTTTGTCCAGTTTGAGTGAAGGGTTCATTCCCAGACCCATCAGCTAAGGTCAGGCAGTGAGTAGTGTCACTCTGGATTTATTGACTCATCTCAGATCCTTACGTGTGGCTGAGACTTATAAGAAGTGCCAGCTCCCACTCAGACTAGATGGCCAAAATGGGAGAAAGACCATTTCCCAGAAGGAGGGAGTGAGAGTGGAGAAACAATTTCCAGAAAGAGGGAAAAATGACCGGACAGACAGGCAATGACTGTTCATTGGGGTATATATCCAGTTGGCATATTATCTTTTCACCTTTTTGTTTTCCTATTTTCCCCACTAACCTCTGCTTTTGGTTTGTATCATAAAATTTTAAGGTCAAGGTGACTAATAGGTAGTAAAAGCAAACTAACCTGAAAAAAAGCTTTGTAGGAGAATTAACACTGTTTCAGTACTGGCTACATTCCAGAAATGTCTTCTATAGTCTTTTCGTTCCTCCCCCAAACACCCCTGAAATGAAATATCTTAATTTCCAGATAAAAACATTAATACTTGGGAATAATAAATAACTGCTTCAAGATGATAAAATTAGCAAGGGCTATGCTAGAACTGAAAAGCTATATCTATCCCATTGGAAAGAGGGAAATGCAATGGGGCTAGGACAATTTTAATTTATGATGCCAATTGTGAGGAAGTAGTGTCTGGTGTTCAGGACTTATTTTTACACATCAACCCCACAAACTAGACTTGCTGCTTTGCAGGGGTCAAGTCCAAGAACAACTCAGGCCAAGTTATTCCATTGTTACTACAAGAAATTTAAATAAATAATTGCTCTCCTTTCTTTTGGGGGGAATCTATTTTACTCACCATCATAGTAGTAAGAAGGAAAGTTGAAATTATTATGTAGAGCTAGAGAAATGAGGCCAAGGAAACACGTTGTCCTACTGACTATAGCCCATGCTAAAAAGGATTTCTCATAACATTATATGATAAGAATACTATATCAGGACTTGGTGGAAAGTCTTTTAAAAAAATAAACAGAATGATTTTTCCTAGAATATGCATTGTGAATTAATGAAGGTGTTAGCCAGCTATTGGAAAATTCCTGGGCCTTGCGTTCTTGTCAAATACAATTGCAACCCCATTAGCAACTGATAAAGGATGATCATACATGTGAAAGATGAGAAGATATTCACTCTGTATCCACAGAATACAGTTGAAGCCCTTCCTTACATTGCACAGTCCTTGTTCTTGGCTCCAGGCATACAAAGATGTGTCCCTTCTCTCAACTCACAGTCAAGTGGATGTACGTTGATGCACCCCTGAGTTCAAAACTTTAAATGAATTCTCGAGATAATTTCGTGAAGTGAGTACCAAGTATGCAGAGTGCTAGCCATGGATCACAGGCCACTCTGACAACAGGTTTATAAAGTAACTAACATCACTCCCATGTTATAGGTCAATGGTTCTCAACCTTCCTAATGCCGCAACCCTTTAATACAGTTCCTCACGTTGTGGTGACGCCCAATTTCATTGTTACAAATTGAACATAATTAAAGCATAGTGATTAATCACAAAAACAATATGTAATTATATATGTGTTTTCCGATGGTCTTAGGCGACCCCTGTGAAAGGGTCGTTCAACCCCCAAAGGGGTCGCGACCCACAGGTTGAGAACCGCTGTTATAGGTGAAGGAACCATCTGAGAGACAAAGATACAGACAGTGAGTACCTGACCAAGGCAAGATTTGAGTCTCTCTGCCCTGTTTTAGAGATCACTTATTTATCCCATTCCTCCACGCTCCCATGTTCAAACTGCAAGCTGGAGATGAAGTCTTGTCTTTCTCTTCCTCTTCTCCCCTTACACATTTGGCAGAGACCTAGGAAATAAATCTGGGCATTTGTTGATTGACCCAGGCACTGACACCCAATAGAATTAATTTGCTTTTGACACTTCACTTCATATTTGTTCGAGTTTATATTTATTTAATTTATGATAAACCTGTAAAAGAGCATGGCCTGGAAAATTGAGATAAAATTAGAAATGTTTCCCCTAATTTTCAAGCCTGGAATTACAACCAAATCTAAAGAGACAATTTAGTTATTAAAAGAGTTCTGAAATAGAAAAATATTGCTCAATTGAACAGTAATATGCAAAGAAATGGCTCTGATGTAAGAATAATTTCTTGACTTTAGCCTTTTATTCTTGGTACATTCTATTTTAACAAGTGTTACAGAACAGAGAGAGTTCGTCCACCCGGCACTAGCAGAGCCAAACACTAGACACTAAAAATTATAGTGGAGAAATATTGGCTATTTTATTATGAAAGGCACCACCCAGAACGGGAAGCGAATGCTCAAAAGGCCAAACTCCCCAGTGGCGTGTAGGTTACAGATTACATAGAGCAAAATCACAAGACTGTGGGTTAGAGGGTCCGGGGTCTGCTGGGAGCTGATTTGCTGGGGGTGAGGTAAGGGTAAAGAATCATTTTTTCAGCTCTTGAGGACAGCTCTGAGGTCTTTTCTGGAGTCCCTCAGTCCATCTCATGGGGAAGTAGCCAGGGGTCTTTCCACCTTAGTGTTCAGGAGCTGAAACATAACTTATGTCGAGATGTGATCTTTAGCCTGCCAGCGGTTCAGACAGTGTCACCATTGTCAGGGCCAGCTACTGTCTTCTGCTGCCTCTGGGGGTTGCTAATGAAGGGGACAGGCTAGGTCTAGGATGGGTATATAGACAGTGAAAGAGAGAGAGACAGAGATAGAGATGATTTCTAGAGCTAGGATTTAAAACTAAATTTAATCCAAGTCATAAGGACTCTGAGCTTCCCAGGAACTTCTCAAATGATGCTTTACTGTATGAACTCTCAACTTTTTCTGTTTTCTTCAGGACATTCTGGTGTTACCTGGCAGTGTTGTTGATGTGCAAATCCTAAAACTCTTGATTAGAACTTGGTCATTTTTTATTTTAGCAAAGCCTCCTGATTAATTTATGCTTGGTCGACAACATGTACTGCCTATTTTGATTATTATCTTGCATATAAAAGGTGGGTTTGTATAACTTTCAGCAGTTTCAAAGACATTAATTCTTAATGGCTTTCCCAGGGAAGGAGTGAGGGGTAAATATTATGACCTCACTGTTTTCCCCTCTTCAGTTCCCTAGGGGTGCTCTCCAAGCTCAGCATGAAGCCAGAAGGAAGGGGCAGCAATTACATGGAGTAGCAATAACAGACCAGCCTCCTGGGTGCAAAGCACGGTGGACAAGGTGGGGAAAGAACGTTTGGAGAAGCAAATGAAAATAGTGGCGGAAACTGAGTTGACCAGGGCTCTGCTGTCTTGTACCTGCCCCTTTGTTGACCATCTTGCTGCTGCCTCTCTGTTGCACATGTCATCTTGTGCGTGTTCTGTGAGGCAGGGACTGAGAATCAAGCTCTACAGTGAATCCCCTACACTCAGCACACTGCCAGGTACATGACAGGAGCTCTATAAATACCCAATAAATGCCCATTCAGTTGATTTATTTCTTTTTTGAGCTTGTGTTTAGAGAAAGGTACAGAGCATCGACATAGTAAATATTTATCAAATTCTCTCATTTGAGTGACTTCCTGAGCATAGACTCAGGCCTAGAGAAGTACACCTCTGACTAAGCTCCATTCACAATCCCAACTTCCCAGTATAATAAATGCTCACAGACAGCCCTCTCGACTTCCAATGTACTCCAGAAAAGGAGGTTGCTTAATAGCAATCAATCAAGAGCTTTAGGTCTTTGCAGGGACTATCAATGTGTCTTGTAAATCACTGGCTTTCAACAAATACTGCCTTTGACAAAACTGAGTTGAAAGTTCCATTTAGCTTAGACGGTATTACGCATATAGTAAATGTGAATCCCAAGTGCCCCTCACCATCTGTCTCATTTCTGGAGTGATAAGGAAGGAAATTGCAAGAGGGCATTGCAGTGGGAGTCTGAACATCAGTGTTCCCCTAGATAGTAAAAAGGATATTACTCTGTGGGAACGCACACTACAGGAGATAAGACACAGCACACTCCCTCACCTTCGGCATTTTTCATTTTTCATGTAAACTTGGTCTCTTGATGCTTAGAATAGGCTCAACTAAATACACCAGAATAAAACACCTTAAACATTTGTGTCTTCAAATGTTGACAATGAGAAATGTACCAGCATCATGAATTTAGTCTCAGTAGACTAGACCAACAGCCTCCACTATAACACAACCCCCAGGTCTCAATTAGTGCATTCAGGTTGCAAGTAAGGCAGTGATATATCTATATATCTATTACAAAACCCACCAAACATATTTTTGCTAAACCTTGTTTAATTTTATAAAATAGTAGGTCTTAGGAAATTGTCTGCAATATAAAAATATATATAAAAACTTATTTATGCACTAGCCGGTTTGGCTCAGTGGATAGAGCATCAGCCTGCGGACTCAAGGGTCCCAGGTTCGATTCCGGTCAAGGGCATGTACCTTGGTTGTGGGCACATCCCCAGTAGGGAGTGTGCAGGAGGCAGCTGATCGATGTTTCTCTCTCATCGATGTTTCTAACTCTCTATCCCTCTCCCTTCCTCTCTGTAAAAAAATCAATAAAATATTTTAAAAAAACCTTATTTATGATAAGTCAGATGTAAAGAGGCAAATACTGGGTGGTAAGGCTTGTTTGTGGAATTTTAGAAGTCATAATCATAGAAACAGAGCATACAATGGTAGTTGCCAGGAGCTAAGGGATAGGGGAAATGAAGAATTGTTAGTCAAAGGATACAAGTTTCCAGCTATAAGATGAATATGTTCTATGGATGTTCACTATGTTGACTATCCTATATAATAAAAGGCTAATATGCAAATTGTCCCCTCGGGAGTTCTACTGACTGGGAGTTTGACCACTCGCTATGATGTGTGCTGACCACCAGGGGGCAGCATTGAACAAAGGCAGGCCCCGGCCTGCAGCCAGAAGGCCCTGATCGGCCCTATCGCCAGCCAGGCCTAGAGACCCTATCCATGCAGGAATTTCATGCACCAGGCTTCTAGTAGTTAATAATACTGTAATGTACACTTAAAATTTGCTAAGAGAGTACATCTTAAATGTTCTTACCACAAAAATAATAGAAAAGTATGTAAAGTGATGGGTGTCTTATTTTGACTTTGGCATTCATTTCACAGCTATACATATACCAAATTATTACACTGTGCACCTTACATATATACAATTTTAATTGTCAGTTATACCTTAAACCTGAGGGGAAAATAAACCTATCGAGGGAAATTATCCTAAAAAATCTTATGGATAATGACACAATAATCTAAATTTGCTAATTTTACTCAAATATTATTAGTTCTCCAAAGAAAGCTTTGTATACAGTTGTTTTATTTCCAAACAGACCCATTCTCTTTGCCTCTGAACTGTTTAAACTTACAGGTCTTGTAGTTTTCTGGTGATAAATATTAGCTCCTATGCATGCAGAAAATGACTTACTAGTTTGCAGGACAGAGTTATCAGCAGAACTGCATCCTTTTCACACTGGGGCTCATTGTACTCAGATGTACTAGAAAATCCTTTCATGAAATTTGAGAGATCAATCCTCCCTCAAGTGCTATGCCCCAGAGACAGACACACACAAGTCTCTCTTATGTTACCTTGTGCTGCTAATGCCTCTGCCTCGATCGGTGCTTCTCAAGGCAATGGAGGGTGGGGTTTGGAATCATACGGAGCTTAAATCACAGCACTGCCACTAGCAAGTAACATGGCCCTGGACAAGCTACTTACACTCTCTGTGTCTCAATGTCCTTATCTGAAAAGTGAGAATACACAGCATCGATGTGTAGGGCTATTGCCAAGATTAATGAGCTAATTACAGCAAAACACTCTACATGATGAAATCCAGAGTCCTGTTTTTTGTCTTATAACTCTGAGTTTGCTTGCATTTGGTAATTAGATGTAACTATTGTATTTACTGGGCAAGAAATGACCAGAGACGTGGCTTCTAGCCGTGGGACTCCCGCACCCACATGATCTTCCTGGCTTCCATGATTAGGGAACTGAAGAGATGGAGATGGGGTTCAGGACCAGTCCCTGACACTTAAAGAACTTAAATTACTCTTCTCCTTAGATGTTTTTATTCAACACACCTTAATTAAGAACCTTAGATTGAATCATATGAAACTGCCAATGGTCTACCATGGGTAATTTCACACATTTGAATGTAATATCATGCTCCAGGCAAAGGGTTAAGGAAGCCAAGACTAACAAAACAAACCTGGACTCTGTCCTCACAGAACTGATGATGCAGGTGGTAGGAAAACAAACAACATACTAACGGAAAAAAAGAAGTGAAGGGGGTTATGGCAGTAAATATCATTTATCCATGAAAAAAACCCAAGGGGCAAAAGGCCAGGAGTGTTCAGAAAAACATCTCTCCTTATGGAAACCAAATGAATGGGTCATGATGGTTTGGAGGGTATATTGCTGTAACAAATTACCACAAATGTAGTGTATTAAAACACCACCTATTTATTCTCTTACAATTCTGGAGGTAAGAAGCCCCAAACCAGGTTTATTGGGCAAAATCAAGGTATAGGGAGGGTCAAGCTCCCTCTGAGAGGAATTTGTCTCCTTAGCTTTTCCATCCTCAAGGGCTACAGTCCTTGCATGTCTTGGCTCATGGACCTTTTCCTCCATCATCAAGGCCAGCAGCACAACATCTTGCCTCAGTGGTCACTTGTCTCTTCTGTTTGTCAAATCTCCCTCGTATAAGGATGCCTGTGGTTGCATTGGGACTCACCTGGATAACCCAGAATAATCTCCTCACCTCACGATTCTTCATTTAATAACATCTTCAAAGCCTCTTTCACCATATAAGGTAATGTTCACAGGATCCAGGCATTAGGACCTGAATATCTTTGGGAACACTATTCAGTCTATTACCCAGGAGTGGAAAGCTAATTAATTGCAGGAGAGATCTGAGGGGATACAGCAACCTAAACTGAGATCAGCCAAATGCAGAGCAAGGAAGGATATTGTCCAGGAAACTGAACATTTCACTGACATTAATGATAACAACAACATTAAGGGGTTACCACTACTTATTACTGCTTTTTATGTGTCGGTACAATGTTAATATTTCACTGTATTATCCCATTTGAGCTTCAGGAAAACCTCTAACATCCTAACTAATTTTAACATTTTTTTCATGATTTCAATAGGCTTTTATGAAAGCAGACACACACATGTGTACATAAACATATAAATTTGATTCTATAATGGTACTTCGTGGCCTTATAAAGGCTTTTTGTTGGCATCTGCACAATTTTAAATTAGTTTTATTCAAGAGTTACTGATGCTCCAATATGTGCTCTATTATCACCAAAGTTGCTCTGGATTGTTTTTGTTGCTGGGAAATATTTTGCTCAGGGTCAGTTTATTAACAAATATTTATTGAATAGATACTCTCTTTCAGGTACTTGGGATACAGGGTTGACCAGATAGTTTTGTCCCCTCAACATCCACAGTTTTGTGTGTGTGTGTGTGTGTGTGTGTGTGTGTGTGTGTGTGTGTGTTGGGGGGGGGGGGGAGGATAGTATGTAGATAATTACTGCACAATGTGATTTTTTTTTTCCCCACAATAGAAGCAAGTACTGGAAACTATAGAAGCACATGGTGAAGAAGACAATTGGCCCCGTCTTAAGAGATTTGAGGAAGACTTCCCGGAAGAAGTGACTTCCAAAGTAGGATATAAAGCATAAGTAGGAGTTTGAAGACAAACAGTGTGGAAGAAGAAAATGATTCAGGTAGGACGAAAATAATTTACAAAAATCCAAAAGAGAACATGGGATACTATTGGAATTTTAAATAGTTGACTTAGGCCTCAGGCTAGTACGGGAGAGGTAGAGCAGGAAAAGATGAGGCCACCCACTATGCTACAGGAAGATCATAAATGTTTATCTGTCATATTAGAGAATTTGGATTTTAGCCTCAGGGCGCTGGCATGTGGAGGAGAGATGTGGAACACAGGGTTATAACCAAGGAAATGACACCACAGAATTTAACTTTAGAACAACTTTTTATTGTGGAAAATTATCTTTATCAACTCCCCCCCCCCTTGTAAGCCCACCCTAAATAACACATTATGTAAGTAAAGACCGTACACTGGCTTTGCAAACACAGCTTCTAAATGGTTCTCCTATCTCTCCATACCAGCCATTGCACACTTATACACTCCTCTCAATTGCCCCTACAAGAAACCTCATTGACAATGAAAATAAGGTCAAGGGATCACAAACAGAAACTGACCAGGATTTTTTTTTAAGCAGTAAGTTATTTTAGTTCAAAATAGAAAGTATCCCACAATCCTGTCCTGACAGGAATTTCCAGCTGAGAGCTACTTCTGAAAGGTACCAACAATTTAAACATACACCTCCCTGCCCCTGGCAAATTCCCAGGCCCGTGTCAGTATTTTAGCCTTTCTCTCCTGCTCCTCGCTTTCCTTTTAGCCGACATAAACCACTGACCTTTACTGGTTCTCGAATCCTCCCTGGTCGCCTGCCCCAGCTGAAAGTAAATATGGAAGATCCTTATCGAAAAGAAGAAAGAGAAGCCAGTATTTACGGAGCACTAGTTCAAGGCATGTTAGGTATTTCCTGATATCTTTACTACATTCATTTTTTGTGTCCTTATGTCAACCCTGTGGAGGCAGGTAAAACCCTTATTCTGTACATGAGAAATTGAATCTCCTGGTGATTCATTTCTCCTTTCTCTGTGCCTGGCACTGGGACACGGGGCTAGAAGTTCGGGGTCACAAGGCGTGGTTGGGAGGAATTTGAGGTCAGATTCTTTTGGCTCATGCCTTTCCCACTACATCATAAACAGGGCTTGGCCCCTGTTATCGAGGTCTTTGTTGTTGGTGCCAGCGCTCACACAGCTTGCTGAGTTTCTGGTTCCCTGGTTTTCCCTCCCTGTGGTGTTCTCAGTTTATTACCTGCCCTCTCAGACTTTGGAAACTTCGTATTACTTTGCCCTTGGGTGCCTGTAGCCTCCTGATTGCCGACTGCTCAGCTGGGTACACCCCATTTCCTCTTCGGCCTGTGCCCAGCTCTGAGCTACTTGGTTTCAGTGTCGGAGCTCCACTCTGCCCACCAACACCCCTATCCGCCAACCACAGCCCAACATCTTCCTGGTTTCCACGCACCTGTAGAGCTCTCCAACTCAAGGCCTGCCTACCTGTTCTATCCTCTTCTTCAGCAAAAGAGCTTTAGAAACTACGGTCTGTGTCCTGCATCTCCTACCATTGAGCATTTAAAAAAACGTTTAGTTATTTTTCCAAATTCAGTCATAAAAAAAACTTTACAATGAAGTAGTAATGCTCTGTTTTGATCTAATCAAACCCAGGTATTTCTTACAAATTCAATGCAAGCAATACAATCTGGCTTATGAGTAAATTTGGTCAAAGAATACAGCTAGAACTCTGGCCTAGTAGTCCGGTTGGTTGAGTGTTGTCCCCTGCACCAAAAAGTGAAGGGTTCAATTCCCAGTCAGGGCACATGCTTATATTGTAGGTTCGATTCCCAGTCAGAGTGTATAAGGGAAGCAACTGATCAATGTTTTCCTCTCACATCAATGTTTTCTCTCTCTCTCCCTTTCTTTCTAAAAATCAATTTGAAAACATATTATATATGGACATATATACATGTGTGTGTATGTGTATGTATATATATATCTGTCCTTGGGTGAGGATTAAAAAATAACAATAATAAATAATAAAGTAAAAAGAATATAGCTAGAGAATCACAAGGCTATAAAATCTTTGAGTGTCCATTTAGCTTACCTTTAACCTTGAGAAAGAAATATGAGAGAGAAAATAAGAAATATATATATATATATATATATATATATATATATATATATATATAAATCTTCAGGGGATGATCTGTTTAGGGTATTCTTCATCTAGGGCCATTCATACTGGAGTTCAGCAGATTTAAGAAAGAGTCTTAGCTCCATAAAAAGCAGGGTTTGGGGGGGAAAAAAAGCAGGGTTTGAATAATTTTCATAAAGGGAATCTTTCCAGTGGCAGTTACCTAACTTGTAAAATTTAGTATGCAATGGCCAAAACTCGGGGCGTACTACTGGTTTGATATTTAAAAAATATAGAGATAAATTTTTAACTAATAATAATGTGTTTTCTGATCCAAGGCAAGATATAAATGATCAAATCTCATGCTCCAGGCTATAAAGTAATTACTACAGAGAACACAGTTCCTTTGCTTGTGTTGTGGGGGTGGGGGGAAGAGAGAGAGAACGAGAACCGAGATGCACACTGAGCAAACCTATCTTCCTTCCCTGGAGCCCTGAGCCATTCCAATTTTGCAACCAAACTGCCCTGACTTTGAAACAGAGGTAATAAAGCTTTAGCCACAATATATAAAGGTCTGATTTTTGCCAGTTCTTTCAAAGTCTTTCCTTTATTTACCAAGGTTAACCCCTCCCTCTAAGTAAAACAAAAGTATTGTTTTGCTAGTTAATATAAAGACAATAACTGAATGCCTATGTTAGTACAAAATGTTTTTAAAGCAGTGGAAGCCTGGTACAGAGGCTCCTGTTTAAAATGGGTTATAATGACTTCATAGCAGTACAGGCACTGTGCCAGGTGGCATTGACTTGTAACTCACATTTAAATCCGATTTGTTATCATGGTAATCCAACACATAGTAAGTTCATTTTTTTGTTTATTTTTTAATTTCTTAAGATTGTATTCAAACTAAAATGATAAAGCAAAACAATAAGCACAACAACTTTAGTTTTGGGATTTTCATTTGACAGGCCCAGATTTTAATTTAATGCTAACCAATTACTAGTTGGATAGCATCAAGCAAGAAATTTAATCTGAGATTCTGCTGCAGATATTACAATAAGAAATATAAGAAAATCACAAATAATGATACTAACTACATAGTGTTACTGGGAGGATTTAAGGAAATAACAGGCAGTATCCAGCATATAATAAAATGACTAGCAAATGATCTTATATTCTTATAACTAATATAATGTTCTTCTCATACTTGTACTTGGATTTAGAAATTAAGAGAAATTCCTATACTGCTTTCACCTAAAATATATATTTTTTGTGAGTAGCAGTTTCAGTAAATAGGAGCCTTAATACAGAAATTCCAGACTGGGTCCACTTATCATTATATCGTTACTTAATAATTAAACCTTCTTATGCCATTGAAATCAGACTCCGTGGCTGAAAGTAAGGTTTCTAAGTTCTTATTACCCAAAGCGAGTTCAGACAATCAACAGCAGTAATAGCATCTAGGAGCTTGTGAAAAATTTATAATCTCAGGATTTTCTAGACTACTGAATCAGAAAATGCATTTAAACAAAATCTTCAGGTGATTCATGTGCACATGAAAGTTTGGGAAGTATTGTTTGAGTAGAGTGGTTCTCAGACTTTAGCATGTACTTGGAGAATTGGTTAAAACACAGATAGTTGGGCCCAACCCCAGAGTTTCTAATTTAGTAAGTTTAGAGTAGGCCTAAGATTTTGTGTTACTAACAAGATAATGGGATGTTGCTAGTCCAGGGGACCACACTTTGATAATGGCTAGGGCATTCAGTAGAGACTCTGGAAAGGTTATACTTGAGTAGTAAGAATAATTAGGCTTAAAGTAAAGACCCACTCTAGACCTACTATAAGAAGGTTTAAGAATAAGCCTTGAAAGTATCGAATCTACCTGCCACAAAAAAAGCTCAGTGCTCCTTAAAGAAAAACAACAGTTGACAATATATCATTCAAAATGTTGATCATCTAACTAAAAATTACTAGCCATGCCAAGAAGCAGAAAAATGTAACCCTAAGCAAGAGCCCATCAACAGAAACAAACATAGACAGGAAAGAGATGATGGATTTGGCAGAGAAGAGTGTTACAACAGCTATTGTATGTATATATTTCAATATGCTCAAGGATTTAAAGAAAAACATAAACATAAAAAAATGAAAAATATATTAAAGAAACTAAATGGAATTTCTAGAGATGAAAGCGAAAATAAAAAAAATGACTGAATGAGATTAGCAGCACATATATATCCAAGAGAATTAAAAATATATCCATACAGCCCTGCCAGTGTGACCCAGTGGTTGAGCACTGAACCACAAACCAAGAGATCACCAGTTCAATTCCTGGTCAGGGCACATGTCCCAGTTGCAGGCACAATCCCCAGTAGGGGGTGTGCAGGAAGCAGCCAGTTAATGTTTCTATCTCTATATCCTTCTCCTTTCCTCTCTCTATAATCAATAAAAATATATTTTTTAAAAACGTTTTAGAAAATATACACATAAAAACCTGTATACAAATTTCCATAGGAACATTATCATACTCAAAAAGTAGCAACAACTCAGATGACTATCAACTAATGAATGGATAAACAAAATGTGGTAAGTCCATTCAATGAATATATTCAGTCATATAAACAAATAAAGTATTGTTATAATATGCCACCCATGATCGAACCTTTAAAACAGTGTGGTCAATGTAAAAAGCCAGTTACAAAGGCTATGTTATATGACTCCATTTTTATTAAATGTCCAGAATAGGTGAATCTGTAGAGACAGAAATAGAATAGTGATTTTTTGGAGCTGGCAGGGAGGCTTGGGGGGAAATGAAGAATGTTTGCTGATGGATATGGAATTTCTTTTTGGTGCCATGAAAATGGTCTAAAAGTAATTGTGGCAATGGTTGGGCTCTTTGAATATACTAAGTAGGTCAAATGTGTGATATATGAATTATTTCTT